GCCGGATTTTCCAGCCGATGTCGCATTTTCGCGCCGCCCATCCCAGCTGTACTAACAACCGACGATTTTATTATTTCGAGCAGCGCACGACTCCCGTGGGGTTCGCGCGTTGTTGTCGAAATGCTTTAGCACCCTTTATCGCCACACTTCATGGATAATACCGTGAATTCCTTGACACAGGGTTTCTCGGAGCGGCCGACAGAGATTTCGTCGAAGGAATATCGTGACAACCCTGTCGCGATTGTTAATATTTATCCTATCATTCCACCGGTGCTTTAACTTAGATCCGTGCGCATTCACGACCGGTTTAAAATTCACGATAAGCCTCGTCAAATATTTCAGCGACACCCCAGCGTCGCGTCTACCGCGCGTCGAACCGTCGCGTCCAGGCGAAGGTTGAACGCGAACGGTGGGAACGAAAACGCGAGTGAAACGAATAAACCGAGTTATTTTTTATTTTTCATTTTTTCCCCTCGTGCGTTATCTTTTTTGCACGCGCGCGCACCGGGCGTCGGGCTCGAGTTGTAAATAAACGAAGGTGAATAAAAAAGATAAAAGGAGGGGAGAGAAGACGCGGGAACGATGTATTTATATTTTATTCGAAATAATAAAAGTTGGTCTAATATAAAATTCATTACGTCCATTACTACTAATAAAACGAAGTGAAAGATGAGCGCGGAGGTACGTAAATTTTTCAGCGGTGGAAGCCCGGCGGCTTTTGATTATTTTATCGCCGTTGATTGAGGGGGCGCCTCGCGGGGGTGCCGATGGTGCTGGTCGTTCATTAAATATCTGATTATCACGATAAAAATTACACGTATCGGCTCCCGTTCGGCGACGATCCACCGAGCGGAAATCTCAGACCGTGTTCGCGGCCGCGGTAAACGAGTGACACTATTGAAAACGTTATTACGTTAGCGAGTAATTAAATGCCTAGCATAATTTCGGAATCAGCTACGCGATGCCATGCGGCACGAAGTATGCAATTGTTGATTGTAAAGCAGTGCCCGTGCACGCGTTATCGTGCAAGCAATATAATAGTTGTTAATTAACTGCAATTAGAGACGGAACGGCAATTACTCTCTTTACAAGAGCGATAATAAATTACAAGGGATCGATGAATCGTAATATTTCATTACAGCGTTCCAAGTATTTTGTTGGTAATTAGAAACGGGCGGGCCCTCTCGCCACCTGCTAACGCCATCATCGCATTAAAATGGTCCACGGTTAATTTTTCGCCTCTGGATACGACCGCCACCGCCGCCCTACGCCGCCGCTCGCGCCGCCCTCCACGCGATTCGTTCCGGAAATTCGCAACGTTTCCGTTTCCGACTGTTTCGCGCGATTAAAAAGTCCCAATTGTTCGCGCGGGAAATTCCAGCGATTCTATATAACCGAGGAACTCTTCCGACGATCATTGGCTATCGCCAATTAACCGGTTTGGAACAGAATTTAATAGCGAGCCGGTTACGCGATTTTCGATCGAATGGTTTGATTATTTTCATAACTGGCTCTCCCTCTGGTGAGCTGCAAATCTAAGCGTATTTCCTTTCTTCCTTTTGCACGTACGTTTCTACTCTGCAACGGCGCGATATGGTAAATCGCGCTACATCCATTGCTCGTTAAAAATAATTCATTTGCGTATGATACGTTCGAAGCAGCCGTCCAGAAAATTTAAATGTAGTTCTTCCTCTGCATAAATTAAAACTTATTTTTATGCACGCGGAGCCCAGACTTCCCAATTTGCTAAGAAACATTCACGATTTCAGTTCCCATTTTCTTTCAGATTCAGTTAATTCTAACTTATTCCTGGGTAACTTCTTCTCGTTACCTTGAATTACTCCTCCCGCACTTCGTTATCTGATAATTATCTTTTGGATAAATAATCTTTACGCGCCTCATTATCTAAACTCGCAAAACAGATCGTGAATCTCTATATCGATGCAGTCCACAAACATGAACATTAGAAAACTCACTAATCATTTCAACATCATCCTTAACCACATGTTCTATGCTTTATTTCACAACTGTGCTTGTTAAAACTATAGTTAATAATTCATTAGAAGGACAAAATTCGTTTACTTATTCAGTGTTCACGTTTACTTTGCGGTATTAACGATTAATAATAAAGAAGCAATATTTCATTAATATTCAAAAAAGTTAAATAACATGTAGATTTATCGACAATTCAGTTTAAAATTTTCATCGTGATCCTCACACGACGTCACAAAACAAGCGATTAGTATAGGGGTAGTAAATACTTTTGCCAATATATTACAGCAATATAGAGTTCAAGTAAACTTCCCGAACCATCGAATATTTGAATAGTGCCTCCGCGTTTTATTATTGAGGTGACTGCTGTATACGAAGAATTAGCGATCACCTGTACCTGGAGCCACCCCTTCCACCAATTCAGGACAGATGCAGGACGCAGACAGGCCACGTGTGCACGCGGCATCGTCTGAAAGAGCGAGGGTGGTGTGCAGGGGGTGGTTCAGCTCTCTTGAAAATATTCAACAACGAGGTCCGCCATGGCCAGCCAAGAAATCTTTGATAGCGACGCTCGATAGTATAGCGACGCTGGGCGCCGGCGCCTTTCCCTAGCAGCCCCATTGGTGCCTGAGTCCCTCTCCACGCGAGTGCCCGCCGCCGGGTTTCCTTGGAAACGCTTCGTTCGCTCTGATGTCTACCCTCGCCCACGGAAAACCTCTTTCAATTAGGCAACCAGCCACCCCGAGCCACCGACCGACGGGGATCTCCCTTTCTCCTTTCTCTCTCCGCTCGGCCAGCCGCTGCACAGCCGCTTTTCGACACCGTGTGACTACCTGCCTCGTCGATGGGAGTCGACCGGCTTTGTGGAATTCCCTTTCGCGTCCACGATTTCTATCCCCGATAATTCCCTTTGTTTTTAACATTGCTTTCAGAGTTACATTCGTTTTTAAAATAGTATTAGACGACTCTAAGGGCGCCGCCCAGCAAATATTCGGTATTCCGTCCGGCTCCGCGTATCAAAAATATTGCGAACAGTCACAGGAATAGCATTTTAGAAATTGTTGTGAACTAGATCGTATAAAGGTTATAAAAATACGCTATTGTTACACACACGAATGCAGTAGAACGGATGTGCATTGATATTTCATAGCTTTCAGAATCGGTCTTTTTTTAAATCATTCTTCCGGAAAGGATAGAAAGCTGATGAATTGGTAAAAAGCACGAACCACGCTAAAAATGTCTGGAACAGTATCCGAGCACAAAATTAAATGTGAAACAATTGTTGTCTATCTGTCGTTCGATTTGATATTGCAGGAAAAACAGCATTCGATAATTCCATGTGATATTTGTCTTTTTTGAGGGGCGTTCTCTAGAATTCGAGTCGTTTTCTATCGGAAAGCTATCACGGGTAACAGAGGATCATCCATCAAAGCACGATCGTGCAGGAAGCTCGGAGACTAACTTACTTCGTGATAGTTACTAAATGAAGATAAGTAAGATTGGCCCGTGAATTTAATAGACTGAACTATGTCAGATCTTCCGCCAAAGAATATTTCCGAAGTGCCTTCCGCGGATATATTTGAATGGGAATTATATATCTCACGTCAATCCTCACGGAAAAAGGAACGTACGTGACGGATTAATGTGTACGGATCCTTTTATAATTGTTTCATGGAAGGTGAGACGTAGCATTTGAATAAGTGTCATCCATGTGGCGGACGCACGTGTGTGTTTGACGCGGGAAAGGAGACGAGCGAAACTGTTTGATATGCAGCACGACGCCCGGCTTGACTGACGCTTCCAACTTCCGAATAAAATTTTCATGAATTTCTATTAGCCCGCGGTTTTCTAGACGTGTCCCGGAGACTTAAAAAAGCTCTAGCCTGATGGCTGCCGCAAGGGAATATGAAAACCACCCTCGTTGGTCAGCGGTATCGGCTTTATTAATTTCCAGTTCAAGAGTCGTTGTTCGTTTTAATATCCCGTAACGATCGTTTCAGAATCCTGTTACTTCTAATATTTATTTTCATCGTCCGCGATCCTCTTGGACTTCTTAATAATTGATTCCGGCTCGACCGCGGAATATGGATTTAACTGAAATTCCCTCTGTCCCGATGTATTTTTTAAAATAACAATATTATTCAGTCGACGGTTGTTTACTATAATATTTAATACAATGTACAATCTCAAACGTGCACGAACACTTCTATACTGTAGTCCACGTAATAACAGAATAATTGAATTTTCCCTGTGTCTTAGCGAACGGAAAATTCACAGCATACCATGGCTATTCGGTGGTTATCTTTGAATTTCGCCAGCGTGCGGAGGGTGGGGAAAGATTCCGGAAAGTTTTGCGGTAACCCCGTGTCAAGCTGTAGTCCGCCAAAATTCGAGACCCCGTAGGGTGAACGCTTAATGCTACTCCAAGTTTCAGTTTAATCCGAAAAGCCACGGTAGGCCGACGAAATTGATTTCGAGACACTCGCGGTTCCATCCGGTTGCGCTCGTTAAAGCAATCCCTTGTCCAGAAAGTAACACGAAATGAAATACATTGATGTCCGGGAATGTTTTGCAGATACTATGCAGTAAAACGATTCAGTCATCTATGACCGAGTACGGTTTTGAATTGCTTAACGCGATAATTACGTATAAGAGTTAACTTCTAAATAACGTAGGGTTGCTCTCTGATCAACTTGGAAACTAGACGATTATACTACAGAGAAGATACGACATTATTAATAACACTTACTTGAACTCGACTCTCCGTGAGGCCGATCTTCTGAGCTATCTCCTCCCTGAGGAAAATGTCCGGATAGTGCGTTCTGTTGAAACACTTTTCCAGCTCGTTCAGCTGTCCCGGCGTGAACCTCGTCCGATGTCGTTTCTGTTTCACCGGCTTGTCATCGCCTTGTCCGATTCTCGTCGAGTTCCCTAAACCATTTATGCAAATTCTTAATCCCTGGCATCCGTTCGATCCATTTACCTTAATATATTTCGATCGTTTCAAGGTCGACCATTAGGGGAAAATGGAGCCTGCGGTTCACGGGTTCATTACAGAACTTGAAGGCAATTAACTTCAATTTTTCCTCTACCAGGTAAACCTGTCGAAGCTGTACTTGGAATTGAAGCGTTTCGGGAATAACGCGACTCTTGCATCGTCGTGCAATGTTCAAAGAAAGTTCCTTTGTTTCATTGGAAGCTCGAACGTATTCAAATAATCTACCACATCGAATTTTAAGTGAGAAGGGTACAAACATATAAAATCCGTCGTCTATTAATTGTACATAATACCCATCATAAGTACTGCAAAATTTAATAGTAACAAATGAGGCGTTCGTTCGCTGCAGCCATTAACTACACAAAATCATAAGGAGACTTTATTTTACGGATAACAATTAAATATCGATCGAATATTTAAGCGCGACTAGGTACTTAAAGGTATTCAAAACACAGTTAGCTAATCCAGCTTTCACCCAGTTCATGATTCAAAATGCTAGAAATTAGAATACCGCTGCCATCAACTGATTAAATCTCAAATCAAAGCTACTGCTCGCACTATCGATGCCTGTTACGACGGAAATGAAGTGAAGGCTGCCGGACGCGCGTGAACGTGAATCGCTTACCCGCGCCAGCCATGATTATTTCCTGATGAAGCGTGCACCCAATGCTGGCGGCGAGCCCGGGATCCAAATTCCCTCCTAGCACGGGAGTTTCCAACTTCTCGTGCCTCTTCAGGTCGTGCGCATGAAGATCCTTCACTCCTGCGAACACGAAACGCGAAAAAATCGTGCCATTACACACAGGCCACACAGCCGTTTCCTCTTCCTTTTCTCTGGCCAGTCTTCCCGGCCCTCCCCATCACCCGCTCACTCCCTTTCGCTGCTCTATGTAGTTTAAATTTGTGTAGGAGCAGAAGCTGGCCGGGCCGTTGGTGAGGGGAACACGGACCACTTAGCACGAAGGTGCGAGAATCGTCACCGGCCTCCGGCTTCTAGGCGTGCAAACACACCCATGCAGGATCGCCGTGTTCGCGCGCGTATGTACACGCGTGCACGGTCACGCTGGTCGTTGAACACTTTTCCAGTGTGCGCGCGAGAAGAGAGGCTGAACGGCTGGAACCATGACGATTCTCGTATACCCGTGCCCGTGATCAGCGCGGCGGCCATCGCGCGTCGTTGTGCTTTGTCAAAGTCGCTTACGCAATCGGCTGAACGGTGGTTACAGACGTCCCGCGACCGCCTAGGGACTTTTCGTGCTCCGGCGAACACGGCTATGACTACCGCCGCCGGAAGTCGAGGAATCGCAACTTCATCGCGCTGTTAAATTTCTTCGAATTCACGAGAAACGGTTTTCTCGTGATTGTTGCATTAGTGTTCATTATTGGATAAACAAACAGTTTTCTGTCTCGCTATTCAGTCGTTAGACACTTGTCTATAGCTATTTTTTAGTAGCTCAGGAAACCGTCTCATGTGTCGCATAGACAATAACGTTTCTTGTCATTCGTGAAACAGGAAGCATATTTATGGTACACCGACGAAAAGTTTCCATAAATCGGTACAATTTCGTGCTCGCCGTAGATTTGTCGAGCACCGATTACGCATAAGAACGCGTTATCGCGATTCATTCGTTGTGGTCGATATCTCGGAAACTGTTAATTAAGACTCGCACCATGCATCAAGCGAGTTATGAAGTTACATGGGCCAGAACGATAATATACTAACCGTAAGGAATTTTATTGGTTTCATAAATACGGCGCCGGGAAGGGGTGGATACCCAACAGTTTTGCATCGATATTTTATAATCCGCGTGATTAATAGTGATTCATTCACAGCCCGTGCCCGGGCCGATATCCAAAATGTTTAATACAGCTGGACAGACACATAATACAGTCGCGCGGTCTGGAATTTCAATGGGTATCGCGGAAATAGTTACATAATTCCGCGTTACATATTTCGGACAGGACCCCGGCTGGCTGGTTTTTGCTAAGTTATGCAAATGTCAGCCCGAAAATCCGTTTCGGTTTTTATTGGCGCGGCCGGTGTACGTTTCGGCTCGCGTGTACCCGTTAATGCAATTTGTGCATTCGATGAATAACGACCGGATACACGACGTGTAAACTGTTCGCGATCGTTTCACAAGATCCTTCGCGAATTATTACGAACGATCGGCCACGTTAACGCGCGAGCGCGCGCACGCGTCGCCGCGCGGCGACTTTCGTTTTCGACCACCGTTCCGGTCTGAACCGAAGCGTTTCGGACCAGTCGTAATGCCGTCGCATCTGTTCCGATGGAAATAAAATATCATCCCCGCTATTTCTCAATAATTAATCGCAATCCTGGGAGAATCTATTTCGAGCTAGACAGACCGATATATTCCGAAAACGTGCATGCCAAATCGCTAGAAAATTCTATCGAGCACGGAGCTCGCAGACGGCTCGCAAAAACCCGTCGTAATCGATCGCTGAATAATAAATGAGAAACGATTTGGAAATTCGAGTAATTAATGGCGGTCGAAAGAATATCGCGACGCTCGTCTTGACCTTTTTCGCGAACGCATCATGAGAGGTATAACCGAACACTGTGCGGTCCCAGACACCACGCGTGCAAGTTTACTCAATGGATACTCCGTATGAATGAACTTTATGACTGGTCTTTATTCCCATTTTACTTTTATGGTCGCTGATGATTTTATTTCGATTTTACTGGGAGACCCGGTATTTATGGGCGCCCTCGCTCTCGCCCGAAATTCGGTGGGTTCCTTTGATCTCGTCGTCTCGTGATTTTTTACCTTCCCCTTTCCACTCGGCTCTCTTCGACGAACGGGAAAGGAAAGACAAGCGACCGGTACTAGATTTTCCCATCAATTTTACAATAATTTTTTGAGCCACGGAACGCTTCGTCTCGCCTCACCGGTTGAAAAAGGGACACGCGAAATTTAATTGTCACGATGCGAGTTGCGCCATCGGCCGTGTGATTTAATTCGTCCCGGTTGAGATCAATTCATTCCGGAAATTACGAATTTTTTTACGAAGAACTGGTAACGGTGCTGGACTTGTATGTTGTATCATAATGTTCGAATGACGAACAATTCAAAAATGAAGATAGAATATTTGGTTTAGTAATTGTACGTACAGTTTTCAGTTCAAGTTTAAGAACGAAGGAAGGTGTTTGCAGGTATTACCGTCGTAATCTTTTGTTTGCTTCGCGGTGCTTTAGCCTTTATTAGCTCCTAGACTGATTATTTAATCCTATTCCGGCTGATCGGATTATCGGATTTTTAAATCGAATTAAAATGATAATACCTAAGGCTGCGCAGAGGGTACGTCGCATTCGATTATTTCCGTGTCTTTTTTTATATTTTTTTTTTCACCCCCCGTTTTCGATGCGGCCGGTAAAAACAACGTTGCCGGCGGACTGATTCAATATCACGTCGACGAGTATCACTTCAATAACGACGTAGAAGCGCGCTTAAAAATCTCTTGATTGACAGCCGTCCGTTTTAAAAACGTCTGATTAATAAATTCATAAATCACATTACCAGTCGAAAAACGACGCGACGGACGCACTGATACCAAACGTCGCGATCATGATCGTCGCATTGTGTCTCAGCGTATCGACAATAGCACCAAATGCAATTAATCCGCATAATGTAATTACTTCATCGCTATCGCGACCCTGCCCTGAGAATTCTCGAATTTACAACACTTTTACATATTTTTTATCAACCGCATCTCTACAGTTTGTCGAATATAAACGATAAAAAAGAATCTAGAAAGAAGGAGGAAATGATATTGACAGATTTTGATGAAATCGTCTATATCGAACGAATGGAAACTGAAAGTTATCATAGCAAAACAAAGTTATAATTGATAACCACGGAAACTACCTCTTTTTAGACAAATGTAGTTAAATAAGTTTCATTGCGACCAGATATTGAATTATATTGAATTAATCCAATAATATATTTTATTTGCAACTATCGTGCTGCACGTTAACTAAGCGACCACGATTCGGTGACTCTGTTGAAATTTAATGTTCGGCCACTGTGTCATTGTATTTTGAATTTGCGAATTATCCGCAGTGTACACGTCGCAACAAAAGTCGCGTTGCACAGGGCCTAATCGGTTGAATGAGTCGCGCCTCGCTTGGTTTCTACCAGTAGCAACATCCCAACTCTAAATCGTTCCTTAACTTCCCGCCTAATGTAATCAGTGTTGAGGTAATTAAGGTCATCAAACTCGAGAAGCGGTTTCCTTGAGCGGGAGGGAAGCAAACGGGCGGTCGCATCGCCACGTGTTATCTGTGGCCAAGGTTTTCTTTTACACACTCAACTAACTTTTTCCCTTTTTCTGTTCGGCAAATGTTCGACTTTCGGCGGGAAACGAATCAACTCCAAACACCTTCACACGCGCAAATCTTTAAGTGTTTTAATTAGAGTAAGTCCTAACATTATGAAAATTTGGTGACATTCCGGGAAATGAAAGATATCATTGCTATTTTTAGAAAGCAAAACGTACCATCCATTAATCTCTTTATGTATCTTTACAAAATGGTTTTTCACTTTGTAATTCTTGCACAAAGCATACAAAATTCTTAAAACAACGAAAACAATAGAGTTAGAGGTACAATAAAATAAATTAAAGTTTCCTCGTACTCTAAGTGGTAGATATTAGGAATGATTTGTTAGAGAAAGAAGTCATGTAACAGTAAGCTTAAAATATGAATTACATGATGGTAGGTAATAAATGAAATCATGCGAATTGTGTGCATTTGTTATCTGGGTGAACGGTAAGATTTGATGTGTTTTACTGTTGCATATTTTACGAGAGATATAAGTGAAGCAGACATCAGCGATTAATATCCAAATAGAGCCTCGAAGAAATGTAACAATTTGAGCAGTTCTAGCTACCTTATTACTACCGAATGTCAAATATTTTAAGTTAACTTTAATCGTCTCGTAATATCTACACAAGAAACAGTTCGAAAGCATAGAAAGAATCAACGCCGACGGTCGAAGACTCACTCACAGGTTCGTGGAAATTCGTAGACAAAAATAAATGACGAAATCAATAGTTTACCAGTCTCTGAAGCCTGCCAATATTTAATAATTGAACATGTTGCGCAACGAGGTGGAAATATTTCATAAATATAATCACTTCAGAGTGAATTACGGCCAGGAATTAGAACATCGCAAAACCGAGTCACAGAAATATATACGTATTAACAAATTTTTATGTTGCTATCGCATGAATCGTCCCTCCATAATTGACAAGGTTTTAAACGCAAATGAGTATATCATTTCCCTCATCGTCACGAATTAAACTTCTGTTATTCTTTAAATACTACACGGTATGAGCTTTTTCGTGCATAATAATGACGAGGATATTAAAGTGAATTGCAAATGTTTAGTGGCTATAAGTTGTCAATTTAGCGAATCGTATAATGCTGACAAGCTATTCCGTATTCTGTAAAAACGCCACCACCGTTTTACTTATAAAAAAATTAAGGTTCATTTAATTATATAAACATCGCAACATTTTTTATGAGATCATGTAGAAGTTGATAAGTAGTTTAGAGTATACAGTTTGCTTACTGTAATTATAAACACTGTTCAATATGGCGCCTAGCTAGTAAAGACCGTCGTTCGCCGTCGGTAATTCAAAGACTGCTATAAACTCCGTCACAAATTTTTCAACATCATCGTAAAATATATAGTTGCCGAGGAGATTTCTGAAGTTTTTAGTTCCATCAAAGTTTTGCACAATGATCGTTCCCATTCGAAGAATTAAACACTTAACTTCAAAAAAAGTGAAGAGTTAGATCTACGGTCAGACTCTAAATACCGAACAAAAAATATTGGAAAAAGAATAATGACACGAAAAAGCTATACAAATCCAGCATCCATCTTTCCAACTGCATCCAACTCCATCGATCAGCGATAAAAAAATATCTATCGTTCTTCGCTTTTGACATTCCATATCCGATTAAAAACTTTTTCACGCGGAAACAAACAATTCTAATGATGACTAGTAGTGGAAAATCAAAAATCGGCTAAGCAAATTCAATCTCAGGTTCGCGTTTTACCTGGAGACAAGAATACGTTTTACTACTACTGATACCACCTTTAGTATTAATAAATTAAAAAATTTAACGATTTTTATGATGTACTAGTTTAAAAAGAAGAATCTATGTAAACTAAAAGTTAATACTCCGCATTCACTAACTTCATTAGCAATAACTTACGCTTATTGGCACTGATTTTTTTCATGACTAATTCTAGGTAGGTCTAAAGGCTAACAAAGCAAATCAGTGAAGTACAATGGAAGAGAATTCAGTGTTAATTTTTTACCCCTCACCCTTTCCATTTCTAAGCAAAATTCGCCACGATTTTTCAATCTGTTACCAGCATTTATCAACATAGATTTTTAATATTTTTCAAGCTCCATAACTAGCATCAAAACAAGCCCATACACCAATATCACAAAGAAATTACAAAAGGAAAACAATCTTTCCCTCTCACCTTCTTCCCCACACAAAATTGTTCATCTCTCAGTCTCCCATTTACATCCAATCAAAAACTCAACATTCCCCGAATTCCTTAACTAACAACTAACCATCGTATCCCCACATCATCGTACAAACTCTCATCTAAAACAGTCACCAAAACAAAAATCTGTCACCGACGGTTCCTATCCAAACTTCTCGACGGCCAATTCTAAAAATCCAACAACGGAACATTCCAAACGAAGAATTACAGTCAATAACCAAGAAGATCGAACTGTCAAAGTGTACCCGACGACGCGAATCGTAATTACTTACCAGTAAGACCGTGTACGAAGCCGCCGGCGGAGATGTTGTTGATCATGCCGTTTACGGGTAGCGTAACCCCGCCTCAAAGTTCGCTGATACAGGAAACCCGCGTGTCACCGCGTATGTCACCCTCGAAAGAAGCGTTCGGCAACCGTGTATATATCACAAGCGAGTTTGAAATAATGCGGCTTAGGCGTCTGTTTATCGCGACAGTGCGGTATATAACGTGAAGACGCAACCGAGAAACGGCCCGTGCCCCAGCAAGGCAAACAGCGGACTGCCTGGCTGCCATATCCGAGCTCCCCCACTTTCGCCGTGTCGGCGCCGGTGTCCCTCACTCTCTCGCTTCATCGCGAACCACCCTCCTATGCTCCTCTTCTTTCACTCCGCGGATACCAGCAGCCCGTTCTCGCTCTCGCTATCGGCTTGTGGGCGTGATATTAAATCGCTCCTACGCTTCGGACTCGCCGCCACCGCCAGGACCGTACCTAGCCAGGGAGAAGCGCGACACGCGGACCGTGGACGCGGTCCCGCCGATCCGAGTTGGCTCCGTGATCTCCCGTGCCACGCTGGAAATTCTGCTGGCAATGTTTCACGGACGTTTTCGAAGACTAGTGGTTCTTCAGCTCGAAAGTGAGTCTAAAGATTTCATTTTTACTATCGAAGGATTAAGCGAATATTCATATTCTCCGGAAAAGGAATCGTCAGTATACACGAAATTTAAGGGAACCTGTAATCCTAAACTTATAAAGGATCGGTGAATCTAGTCTTATCGATAACTCTGGAGGAACATCCGAAGAAAAGCGATGCTGCCCATTGAACTCCCATTTGAAGTTCATAAAACGTTCGGATAAGGTGAATTGATAAATCAGTCTTCCGGTAGCACTTTGCTAGGAAGATTACCCTAGGACTGTGGGGAACGGACAGGAAAGAAAGGCGGGAGACAACCAAAGAAGAAGATAAGGATGGAAAGTAAGGAAAAAGCGCGTGGCTCCACGGCGATGACGAGAGGGATGAAAGGGGAAGAGATAGAACCATGGTAAAGGAAATCGAGAAGCGGGCAGTGGAAGCGGAGCCTCGGCTCGCAGACTACGGTGGTTGGCGGGGCTGTCCATATCCCGAGGTAAACTCTATCCAGGCTACTGTAGTCTAGCTGTCTCTGTTTTGCGGTAGGCGGTAACCGCCGCGGACGCAGCTCCAATGAGCGAGTAGCCCGCCCTCTGGATGCCCCACTAGCTTACCCCCGTAGCCGGAGATTTATTGAAATTTTATTTTTATGGCCGGTGAGCACGGCGTCCGGTTGATGCGGGGGTTGGCTGGGGAACGGGCAGGGGTGAGCGGCGGGTTCACGGGGGGCTGAAGAAGAGGAAAGGATTCCTTCTCGTTTCCTCCAACCTTTTTTTCCGCGTATCCACTGTCCTCGTTTCATTCCCGTCGACTACCCTCCGTATCAACGTGTTTCATCCCTCTTCCTCGTGGAGGGTGGCCCCGCCAGCCCCGGCCGCTTTACTCGCTACGTCCTTTTAATTCAATAGCTACCGTTTTTCCTTTTTTTTTGCGTAAGGTGGATGGCGAAGACGGAACTCGGCCGCGCCGCCACGCCAACGTCAGCCACCCGACGAATATGCCCCGCGAACAGTTCGGGGTACCCGCGGTATTGACGCGCTTGATATTCCTCTCTCTCCCGCGGGGGTGGCGCGGACGAGTCGACGCTCCGGGCTAGTATAATGCGCCCGTTCAACGGGGATATTTATCGCGACGATTGGGAATTACGATCCCGCCGGTGCACGGAACTGGGTGAAATGCGTCACGTATCCGGGATTTTCGGAAATTTCCCTGAGACCGCTCCTCGAGAACTGCGTCTGGATTGGTATTAGACGGCTCTGTACAGCTGACTGTTCGATACGATATTGAGAAATTATTGTTTACTATTGATTGGTAGTTCTAGGGATTACTGGTTTATGTTACATTTGTTTGGATGATTAGAATTATTGTTTATAAGTAGAAACGTTGCGTTCTTTGACAGTAAATCAGCTGTACTAATTAATAGCTAGATACAGTATTTAAATTTAATTTGATTATTCGTGTTGGTCATGCCGTGGAATGAGAGATCAAGAACATTTTTTATTGAGAAGTGTTAAGGATGGTGCAGGATTCATATGGGAATTTGATAGGTGAATATTGAAAGCTACATATTTTTAGTTACAGTTATTGCCTAGTAGTAATTTAGTTATTTTACAAATGAATTGCACAAATGAATTCCTTTTTATATATATCCCGCATGCCACAACTCTGCTATTGTTTGTTTTTCGGAAGCTGACCCTTGGGATACATCGACAGTTGCAATAGCTGTCCACCCGCCAGGATCACACCCAGACTGATGACGTTTAGGTGTTCGAAGAGGGGAGGAATTCTATTGTGACTGTCTGTGTATCATTGCCGTCTGATTCCATTATTTCGGAACTTAAAGCAGGAACTTGAACCTATTCTAAAAATTTCATAACAATGTAAACTTACACTTTCAAGGCTCTTTCCAAAATTTCTGATAGGTACTAGGAAGTTAGTTTTGCCTGTGAAATAGTTTATTAAAATTAATATTATCAGCAAAGAATCGTAGAGCAACTGACCGAGTAAAGTGGGTTAAACTTCTCTTACAAAGTTACATTTGCTAGCTACCAGTTATAAGGTAATTTTTTCGTTTGAACAAAGTGGCATCCACTGAAATATGTCAAAACGCGAATTACTTATTCAAGGAGCGTAAAATGTTATATGCAGATAAATAAGTGAAATACGTAATCATTGAATCTTCGACTTGTTCGACAGGTATTGAATGATATAAATTAATCATTGATGCTTTATAACGATTAAGATACCTATCATTAACATTAATTGTTTAACGTAATTAAATCCCAAGGTGCCTGTATTTTCGGAAAATCATGCACGATGTCTTACGTTAGAGGTAGATCTAGGTGAAACGACACGCACACGTGCGAAGGAGCCATATTGCTTTGGGGAGCGGATGTCAAAGAAATTTAATAAACACGCCAGAAACGCTTCGTCAGCCGACTGTTCGACATTCCTGCATTAATATGAAAATAATTTACAACGCAGAGTTAATATCAAAGATGTCGGACTTTGAGAGAGCGCCTTCGACGCTTTGCCTGTCAAACGAAACGAAGGAGGACGTGGCTATTGGAATTAATCTTCCGGTTCAGTTCTCCGAATGCATTCCGCGGAAACGTGTTTTAATTTCGAACAATCAGACGTACACGACTGACTTGAGTGCACTTGTCCAATGTATCATATTACCTCGTTACAAATGGTAAACAATTAATATAAAAAACGAAAACAAAGTATTTTTTATTAATTCACAGCCACCAGCAAGCCATTATTCTGTAAACAACATCAAACGTTCGTTCTCACATGCATCCAGCAAGCAACTTTACAAATTTCTTAGTTAACACATCATCTAATCGTTTTAAGAAACATTATCCTATTATAGTCGTACCACACTTCTTTTAAACAATACGCAGTATACATTCATTTAATTCGATCCTTCATACTGACGCTTTCACTGGAAGGAACATACAACGGATAATTATGCGCCATCGAAGATAAGCGATTCTTTACAAGCGTTCGTGTCCGCGTCACTTTCCCTTCACCGGCGCGCAAAGGCGGTATACGGCACGCATGCATCGAAAACATTCGGGGTTCGTCGTATGCAAATTCATTGCTAATCGTATTAAGGATAATTAACGTCGTCGACCCGTAGTATTCGATCACGCGGAGAAATTTTCGGCCGCGTCGCGCGGCAATATTCCACTGTTCAGCGCGATGATCCATGGAAAACGGTGTAACCAACGGTACCGGCCGGTTCCCCGGGCGTAGCGTTTCGAAAAATAGCCCGGAATTCTACGGTTTAATGAAACAGACATAACCGGGGAATGCGCGGCATGATTCGCCCACAGGAATCCACGCCGCGCGATATATATTTCAAATATCCGGCTGTTCCCAGTTTTTATCATCGGTGAGCCGGCACCGGAGCGCGGCAGCCACTGTTTCCACGCCGGAAAAAAACTTTATTATCGTCCAATTATCGTTACACCGACGGTGTCTCGATACGATACACCGATACGCGGAGCGAAGCAACGATACGTGTAGTGACGTATCGACGCGGGTCTCGATAACACGACTGTCGTCGGTTCGATTAATTAAGATTGTCGTTTTTCGAATTAATTCCGAACGACGCGGCGCTTTCAACAATGCGTCGTAATTCGTTCCAATTTTGAGACGTGAAATTGGATTCGAAAATGCGACAATAAGAACTGGATGGTTTTAGAAGAAATGTATTAATCAGAATTTAGATCTTCGATTTTTGTGATCTTAAGATCATCGTTTTAGGCTTCGAAACGGTTTTTAAAGCGTCGATTAATGTTCATTATGATGTATTTAATTTTCGAATAATTTTGAAGGAGTATCTTTTTTCCTATTAACGCAAGTGTTTCTAGATAAGGGTGTTTCGATGTAAAGAGGACGGTGCGCGAATAAAAGGTTGTACTTTTTTTCCCGCGCCTCGCTGGAAGAGATGAATGGTAACAGCGCAGAAACACTTGGTCGCCGGAAATGTATTTGCAGGCGGAGGCATATGTGCCTGTACGCGATCGATTTTAAACAGGCGAGACGAACAGCGGCAAATTGACAATGTGTCGAATGCAGACAACCGATGCCTCTGGCTAAAACTACCCTTCCGCGTAGTGAAACCGTGGTCCGTTTTCGGTACAACGGTGCACGCGCCGCCCCGGAAGCGACTCGACACTACCGATCCTCCATGCTGTGCACCTTCGTCACCGGAATTTTTTCCGCGCAACGCGCGGTGACATATATCTGACAATAAAATCAATTAGTAGTTTGAACGTTGTGCTATCCCTGTACTAACAACGCGCAATTGGTTTGACACAATTTAAAACTTACCCCACTATATTAAATAATTAAATTATTCACTAAAATATACAAGTACCACTAATATGAAGGGAATTATTTTAATTTCACCTTCCGCATTCGAACCGTTTAACTCTTCCACCTTCCAACGCTACAAATGAAATCTATCTCTTTCAACTATCCGAAAATGTATAGAACCATACATACCCTCCTTCATATTATTAACGTTAAATGTTAAAACCAAAACATACAATAAACCCATACCAAACGTAATCTTCCTCGAGGTGAAGTGCGCGCAGGGCTTCACCGGAACGAATATAACATGTGAA